CTAAGATTTTTATAATATATTTTATATCAAGTGATAGACATCACCTGAGGGAGAGAAGTTTACCGGCCACCCTTCTACGTCCTTCATTTAAAAGTAGGCGCCACAACGCCGTCCTTGCATCTCGGCGAAGAAGCGAACCATGAAGGTTGCAAAGTGAATTATCAAAGAAGAAAACGATAAGTGTTTTTTAAGCTATTGATCGATATTATATTTCATCCCACATCGCCTACTGCTGATATCAGAAGCCGGCAATCAGACTTATCATCTGGTATAGAAGCTCTTGGCCACTTTACTTTTGATAGCTCAGCAGAACGGTCGAAGTGTACGTGTATTACAGACAGAACATTCTCACATCGCGGCAGCCCTCATGAATACTACAACCTATCTCATGTAATTTTTAATAACATCCTCACACTTAAATGCTTGAATTCGCCGCTTTTCACTTGTCCAGTACCATGAGTGCTACGAAAATGTCGCAGATGTTCTTTATGGCAGCTACATCGCACTTTGTAGGTATGATCGGCAGCTGCAAAACAATACGAGCAGCAGTTTTTAGAGAATAAGTAGAAACAAGAGAGATTTGTATTTACCAGCTTTAGTTGCATCGAGTCTTACAGTGCCATTCCAGATTCGCATGCTACCTTCATCGCTGTAGGGCCAAAGTCCAACATTTGTAAATACCTTCACGCCATACAATTCTGTGAACACGACAGTCATGAAGCTTCAGTTAGTGTTCAGAAACCGCATACGCCCCAAGTAACTGACAGAATGAACCTTTCTAAAAGCTTTGACTAAATTTGGTATCAGTAAATTATCATACAGCGATGTGCTTAACCGCAATTCCCCACTGTTCATTGACTTCCCAAAACTGCAAAATTTATAGAGACATGTAGCCATAAGCTAATATCTGATTGTCAAAAAGCCTGACAGAATAATTTCGAATTTTTAGTCAGTTGCTAGTGAGCTAGAAGTCCTAGTTCCGGTCATCAGAGATGCTTGTGCCACAGCT